AATAACAGTTATGAGATCATATAATTGTGAATGTATATATGAAATTGATAAAATTAAATTAAATTTTTAAAAAATCCTCCATTAACATTAAATCCTCTAGCTAAACATCCATAATATTTAATACCAAAATTAGACACAACTAAGTTTTAATTATTATGGGGGGGAAAATGTTATGATATAGGATATAGTTAAATAAAGAAAGGATAATGATAATAAATTATATACACCAAGCGGGATTTACAATCTCACCTTGAACCCTCTGATCGCGGGACATCCAGTACAAGATCCCCCGCGCGCCCTCTTTCAGATCGGGAGCCGGAGAGATCAACCGGACGCGCCTCTTGTTGTACGGGAACTCCACGACCGACGCCCCCGCGCTCAAGCGGGCTTCCTTCACCGACTCGGCCAAGCTCTGGGTTCGAGAATCATCCAGTTTCAACTTCTTCTTTGCAGCGAAGGCTTCCGTGCCACCGTCGTCCGGTTTTCTGCCTCCTTCCGAGCTGTCGGATGTCGATGTGGCCGGCCCAGGCTTCCTCTTCTTCGGAGACATGGCTGCGAGTTCAAAAAATGGGTCTCTACGAAAAAGGGGTGGAGCATAAGCAACCGGAGACCGTTTGATGGACACGTACAAAAACCCATTTTTTTCTAGATTTGATGAAAATCTAGCTGGGCTTAGATCCCTGGAGGACCCGAAGTTTTTTCAGCATCGGTGCCCAGCTACAGTTATAAAAAGGTAGACTGCTTCTGAGGGAGGAGGTTCCATTGAATGTCGATTTGGGGGATATTCTCTCCAAAACGGGGGTTTCTTGATTAGGTTCAGAAAAGTTAAGAAATGTCGCACACCTCTTTCCATTTTCTTGTTACCTAGGAGGTAGACTGGGCATGGGGTTAGGTAGTCCTCGACTTACGACCACAATTGAGACCCCCAAAAAACATTTACGTTGCTAACTGAAACACTTGTCAAGGGAATTATGCCCCATTTTACATCTTTTCTTGCCAAGGTTGTTAAGTGAATCGCTGCAGTTGTTAAGCCAGTAACACGGTCGTTAAGTGAATCCAGCTTCCCCATTGACTGTGCCTGTCCGAAGGTCGCAAAAGGGATCACGTGACCCCGGGATGCCGAGACCGTCATAAATATGAATCAGTTGCCAAGCATCTGAATTTTGAGGACGTCGACTACAGGGATTCTGCAATGGTCGTAAGTGTGAAAAACGGTCTTAAATCATTTTTTTTCAGTGCCATTGTAACGCCAAACAGTCACTAGATGAACAGTCGTAAGTGGAGGGCAGCCGGTATTTGAGAACTTTCCAGCCAGCTTCTGACAAGCAAATGGGGGAATCTGGATCTGCTTAACGACTGCCTGGTTCACTTAACAACTGCAGGGATTCACTTAACAACGTGACAAAAAAAAGACTGTACAATTAACCACGACTCGCTTCCCAAGTGCCTTGCTTAGCAAACAGGAATTCCGATTCCAATTGTGGTCGTAAGTCAAGGACCAACGGTGGTCATAAATCGAGGGCCGGCTGTCTTAGCTCTGCATGGCAATTTAGGTCTCACAATCCAATCTCAGCCTAATTCCAGTCTGTTAAATATCCCAGGAATTAAGCATAAACCCAAATCAAACCCACATAGATATAAACACATCCCAGAGTGGCTTTCCCCATAGATTATCCCACGATGCCCCTAACTGGCTGGTGTGTTTGTGTACGTGTGTTGTTTGTGTAGGATTCTGGGCTGTGATGTTCCTTTTTTTAATATATAAAGGCCTTTTTAGATCTACAAAGAGCATTTCATAATCCAAGCAGGCTGTTTAAACCCACCCTCCCTCCGGGCTGTCTCTCCAGATGTATCTGCCAGACCATCATGTTGTTGCGGGGGATGATGGGTGTGGTAGCCGTCCCATTGTGCAATTCCAGCTCTGTTTACACCACAGCTGCAGTTTGCAAAACTAACAGGGAAGACTTAAAAAGCTCAGGAATTTGCCCTAAAGCAGGCTTTTCCTATTTTTTTCTTTTAATTAATATAAACAATCCGTTTTCCACGAAGCGGTGTTAATGCTGGGTCTGGATGCCAATATTTTGTGCCAACGTCAAAATAGATAACCTTGTTCGTTATTTAATCTCATCTTGGCTTCGTTTCCAATACCTTATAAGTATCTAATATTGTAACAATTTGTTTATTTTATTAACTAGACTTATATACCGCTTCATAGGGCTTTCAGCCCTCTCTAAGCGGTTTACAAATTGTTTTAGCAAATTGAGTCAGCAACTTGCCCCCACAGTCCCGGTCCGCCTTTCCCCCACCTCGGAAGGATGGAAGGCTGAGTCGGCCTTGAGCCGGTGAGATTTGAACCGCTGAACTGCAGATAACAATCAGCTGAAGTGGCCTGATTTATTTAACTCTCTTGGTTAAATTAACTATGAATACATTTTCTATATTTTAGATCAGTGTTTCTCAACCTTGGCAACTTGAAGATGTCCGGACTTCAACTCCCAGAATTCCCCAGCCAGCATTTGCTTGCCGGGGGATTTTTGGGGGTTGAGGCCGGGCCACTTTCAGTTTCCCAAGTTTAGGAAAACCTATCTAAAAAA